AGAATTGGCGAGAAACTAGTTCGCCTTCCTTCGGGAACCCGTGCATTCTGGTCTCTCGCCAAGGCTGTCCAAGGGAATTTCTGTAAGCCATCACTACCATCTCTGCACAGGGAGGACGACTCACTGGCCCACGACGCAAAAGAGAAGGCCGACCTTTTAGGCTCCCTTTTTGCGTCCAACTCGACTGTTGACGGGGGGAACACACCGCCGACCATCCCGCGGTGTGAGTGCTCCATGCCGGATGTGCGATTCTCACAGCGCTCGGTTCGCAGAGCACTCCTCTCCCTTGACATCCAGAAGTCGAGTGGGCCTGACGGAATCCCCCCAATTGTGCTGAGGACGTGTGCTCCGGAGTTGGCACCGGTCCTAACGCGTCTTTTTCGGTACTCCTACTCCCTAGGCGTAGTCCCGAAATCATGGAAGACATCTTTTGTCCACCCGATCCCTAAAAAAGGCGACCGCTCAGATCCGTCCAACTACAGGCCTATCGCCATCACCCCCTTGTTCTCCAAAATAATGGAATCCGTTGTAAACTGCCACCTCATGCGGTACCTTGAGGATCACCAGCTGATTAGTGACCGCCAGTACGGTTTTCGTCGGGGTCGATCAGCTGGTGATCTTCTGGTCTACTTAACTCATAGATGGGCGTTGGCAGTAGAGTCCAAGGGGGAGGCATTGGCCGTTAGTTTGGACATTGCGAAGGCCTTCGATCGGGTTTGGCACAAAGCGCTTCTTTCGAAGCTCCCTTCCTATGGGCTTCCCGAGAAATTATGCAATTGGATCACCAGCTTTCTTGCAGATCGGAGCATCAAGGTCGTTGTAGACGGTACATGCTCCGACTACAAGCCTATTAACGCTGGTGTTCCACAAGGCTGCGTGCTATCACCAACGCTGTTTCTTCTGCATATCAATGATATGTTGCAAGCTGGTAGCATTCATTGCTATGCAGATGACAGCACTGGTGATGCTCTATACACCGGCCGTGCCAATATTTCTCGGGAAAACGTCACCGAGTACCGGAACAAACTTGTGTCTGAAGTCGAGTCTTTGCTGGACAAAGTCTCGGATTGGGGGCGACTAAATCTAGTCCAGTTTAATCCTCAGAAGACACAAGTTTGCGCGTTTACCGCTAAAAAGAACCCCTTTGTCGTATCTCCTCAGTTTCAAGGTACTCCCCTTGTTGCCTCAGCCAGTATCGGAATCCTCGGCGTCGACATATCGAGTAGCGTGCAGTTTCGTGGTCACTTGGAAGCGAAGGCCAAATTGGCCTCTAAAAAGCTTGGCGTGCTCAGCAGAGCGGGACAGTATTTCATGCCGGCTCAACGCCTGCAACTTTACAAGGCGCAGGTTCGGCCTCACATGGAATACTGTTCCCATCTCTGGGCTGGGGCTCCCCAGTGCCAGCTTCTTCCACTTGACCGCATCCAGCGCAGAGCGGCTCGAATCGTCGACGACCAAGTCCTTTCCGATCGGCTCGACTCATTGGCACTGCGAAGAGATGTTGCATCTCTTAGCATTTTCTTTCGCATTTACCATGGGGAGTGCTCTGAGGAATTGTTCGGATTAATCCCAGCCGCCAAATTTCACGAACGCACATCGCGGCAGAACTCCCGATACCATCCACACCATCTGGATGATTGGCGGTCCACCACTGTGCGATTTAGAAGATGTTTTCTTCCTCGCACAACTTCCTTGTGGAATAGTTTACCACCAGCGATTTTTCCGGACCGATACGACTTAGGGACCTTCAAGAAAAGAGCCTACTCCTTTTTAAAAGGCCGGCAACGCATCTGCAATTCCCCTGGTGTTGCGGTTGTTCATGGGCGGCGGTAGTCACTTACCATCAGGTGAGCCGCATGCTCGTTTGCCCCCTCTCCTATAAAAAAAAAATCCTTCTTAGGTTTCACCCGAAGGCATCAAACCCTTGACCTCAAAAGTACAAGCCATCAAAGATTTTCCAGTGCCAAAGAACGTGAAAGAATTGAGAAGATTCCTGGGAATGTTAAATTTCTATCGCAGATTTGTCCCAGGAGCAGCAGAAACTCAAGCTCCATTAAATTCACTCCTAATCGGAGCGGTAAAGGGTTCACATCCAATAAATATTACAGGTGACGCACTAATAGCGTTTGAAAAATGCAAAGAAGAATTATGCAATGCTCTTGGCCTACCCTGATTTTAATTCCAAACCGGGAGTAGTGACAGACGCTTCGGACATAGCAATTAGAGGAGTTCTGCAGCAATTTAAAGATGGTGAATGGCAGCCTCTGTCCTTCTTTTCTCGCAAATTGAGTCCTTCACAGAGAAAATATTCTCCATAGGACCGAGAATTATTAGCGATCTATGAAAATATAAAATATTTTCGGCATATGCTCGAAGCGAGACATTTCACCATATTTACTGATCATAAGCCAATATGCTACGCATTTCAACGTCGAAAAGAAAAATGTTCACCACGGCAATTTCACTATTTAGATTACATATCCCAATTTACAACGGACATACAACATATTTCTGGGAAAGAAAATGACGTAGCTGACACTCTTTCATGAATAGAGGAATTATCTAAGCCCGTCGACTTAAGTACACTCGCAAAAGCGCAGTCAGAAGATCCTGAGTTAAAAAAATTAATAAATAGTCAAACATCGCTTCAACTAATTAAAGTTAAAATACGGGGTACACTAAAAGAATTATACTGCGACAATAAAACGCAAGTAACACGCCCTTATGTGCCCCAGCAACTTCGACGGCAAATTTATGCAACACTGCATTCACTGAGTCACCGAGGCGCTAATGCTACCGCAAAATTAGTAGTACAGCGTTACGTTTGGCCCGGTATGAACAAAGACTGCCGAGTATGGGCTAAAGCAGGCCACGCCTGCCAGACCTCAAAAATTACCCGACACGTGTCATCGCCGCTACATACATTCGGATTGCCACGTGCACGATTCCAATACCATAAGGTTTTCGGTACTGTCTGACAGCGGTAGATAGATTCACACGTTGGCCAGAAGCAATTCCATTAGTAGATATAACTGCGGAATCCGTTGCAAAGGCCCTGCTACTAGGTTGGATTTCGCGATTTGGATGTCCTGTGGAAATAATAACTGATCGGGGAAGGCAGTCTGAATCATCGCTGTTCAAATATCTTTCAGATTCAATAGGTTTCCAACACAAGAAAATAACTGCTTATCACCCTGCATGTAACGGAATGGTGGAAAGAATGCACAGGCAGTTAAAATCGGCCATAACTTGTCATAGTAACCAACACTGGACTGAAAGTTTGCCACTAGTACTATTAGGTATGAGAAGTTCTTTAAAGGAAGATCTACAAGCATCGCCGGCTGACTTAGTTTATGGTGAATCGTTAAGACTACCGGGAGAATTCTTCTATCCTTCCTTGAAAACAAGTACTGATGTGACGGATTTCACTGCACGCCTACGTCCTAACATGCAAAATATACGTCCATTGCCAGCTTCACGGCACCGTAAATACAAGACCTTTGTTTTCAAAGACTTGCCAACAGCTACGCATGTGTACCTGAAAGATGAAACAAAATCGCGAGCATTTCAACCATCTTATACAGGGCTATACAAAGTCATACAAAGAAATGATAAAGTTTATAAACTTCTAATTAGAGGCAATGAAGTCACAGTTTCTATAAATCGGCTAAAACCAGCTTACACAATTCAGGAAAACACTGAACTCCAAGGTCCTGTCATTATGCAGTCGCCTGAAAGTAAAGAAGACACAAAAATTTAAAAAAAAAAACACGTTTGGGACGAAGTGTGAGATTCCCAGATTACTATCGCCCGTCTTGAGACGGTCTCTGGTCTCTTTTGTTGCCCGTTATTTTTTCCTTATATAAAGTCTAGTTGCTAAATTAGTTTAATAACAATTGCATTAGCCTTCTGTTTGTATATAATATATTTTGTGTGTTGTCATAAACTATAGTTAAACTGTAATCTGTGAAAATTGTGAATTGTGGAGCTGATTTATAAAAGGAATAAACATTATAACAGTGAACATTGAATTATTTCTTATCACCAATTTCACTACACTACCACCAGACCAGATCAACGAGACAGTCAACGAACCAATATTCCACACACCGGTAATAGAAATCAGCATTACTGGTATGTAAACAATTATCATTACGGCCAATTTTTTAAAGAGGGGCAAACGAGGATTCGGTACGTCACATGATGGTAAGTCACTATACCGCCGCCCATGAACAACTTCGGCACCAGGAGAATTGCGGTGCATTGCAGCACTAGGTGTGTTGCCAGCATTTAGAAAGTCCCTCAGTCATATCGGTACGATTTCACAAGGAAGTTTTACGTGGAAGAACATTTCTGGTAAATCATTCATGGTATCACGAGGTTGTTCGCGTTGTGCGATGGTGAAATTCAGCGACTGGAATTAGACCAAAAAATTCCTCTGAGCGTAGTAAATGCAAAGGGATACAACATCTCTTTGCAGCGCCAGGGTGTCAAGCCGAATAAAAGTCCATTACTGAAAATAGGCCTCCCCTCCCCCATTGATTGCCTCAAAGGGGGGTTTCGCCAAAGTTGCAACGCTTGGCAGCCGCATTTTTTTTACAACTTTGAGTTGTAATTAGAAAGATGCTGCTGCCCAAATGCTGTTTTAGTTTCACTCGGCAATCAGCAGGTTAGAAAATACCTAGTGGTGAGTATCACTCGGACTTATACAGTTGAATGTTATTGCATGCCAGCGCGAAACGCGCAGGTATGTTCTGCTAGGTACTAAATATTAAGTGTTTTCCATATTAATGTTCTAAATCAGCATTTAAAATTGTATGTTCAGGTCAAGCCTTGCTTCAAATATGGATTCGCCTGCTAATATAGTTATTTCCTCTTTCCTTTGTTTGTTAATAAAAAAAAAACATTAAGGAATTAGGTTTTCATTGTTTATTAAATAGTAAAAAAATATAACATATCGCATTATTATAACTTGGTATGAATTTGAATCACAAGTTTGTTTATATCACCTGATCTGCAGACGTTCTTTTTAAATTTGAATCTCCACTAAGCGTTTTTCTGTATGCGTCGATTATGGGGAGACACCAAAATATAACTGAAAATAAAAAAAAACCCCGGTTTATAATATGTTTTGGAGATAATAATTCTACCAATGTTTTCGTTAACACGCGTTTGAAACTTTGTTTGTACTTTCGACACCAATGGGTATTTTTATATAAAGTATTATCGCGACTGCTGGGCACAGACCTTCTCACAACACTAGAGGCACATGAGTAAAGAAATCGTACCGTACAGAGGCAAAGTTCCATACAACCGCGCTGTGATAGGTACACTACTACAAGCTTGAGGCGCATGTGTGCGTGAGCACTGGCGGCTCTTCACGTACAGAGAGAAACCGCTTTAAGCTGGCTCGGCCAGTGCTCAAACTCAGGGTTGTGTAAAAGATAAGTGTCAAATTTTATTTTTTAAAGAATAATTCGTATCAAATGAAATATAGCCACGCTGCAGCTATATTAGTAGTATAGTTGTAGCACGAATGGGTCGGCTCGACCGGGGAAGGACCACGCTCTTACAGAATACCAGCGTAAAATAGCAGCTTAACACTGCTGTGTTTCGTATGGTGAGTGTAGAGAACCGGAGACCCTTTTTACTGGAAACGAGGCATTCCAACTTAGTCCTCACGGGTGACAACGCATCTGCATTTTGATTCGCAAAGGAGGATAGATGTAGATATCTATGGGCCACAGCAACCATTTACCATCAGGTGGACTGTGTGCTCATTTGTCACCCTATCCTATAAAAAATATATAAAAATGTGTAAATGTGGTTTATGTAGATTTAAATCTTATCGAGGTTGCCGCAGGAGATACCGCTGATTTTGTAAATAAAATTAATAATTTGTTTGATTTCTTAAACTCAAGTACAATCCGATCTCCTAATAAATATATCCTGTTGTGCACGAAGTGAAGTCAGCTGAATTCAAATATTTAAAAAATTTCATGATTAGAGTAGTTAGTAAAATGCCAGTATACAAAATCTCAACTATTTACGTAGTACAAAACCAAGCGGATTGGTCGAACCTTGTTTATTTCTACATCTTATTCTAATTAATATATATAGAGATTGTCCTCCTTCTCTCTACACTCCATACTTGTACGTTAAACAAGGCATTGGTGAGCATGGCGATTGCATTGCATTCAAGCCAATGAAAGATATTTTAATATTAATTTAAAAAAATATAGAATTTATGTGTGTATTTTTACTTTTCTTGGTTTAATACAATGGTAAATAAAATTGGCAGTATTTAGGTATTTTTCACTACAGACAGGATTTGGCAGGTTTTTAACGAAAGTAAGGTAGGATCTGTATTTTAAAGATGGTCACACTGTGCCCGAGCCAACTCAGTACGTGAGTACGAGGCCTGTACCGTATAGGACAGTTACTATCATAGATAATATACTATATAGGGTAGTTACTAGTTATTACGCTTTGGTCAGAGGTCCCATACGATACACGTGTGTGAGTAGATTTAGTGCAATCGTGAGTCAAAATGACCACGTTAAGTGATTTGTAACATTTTGAGCTTAACCAACCAAATATTCTTTCTTTCTTTTTTTTTATAGGAGAGGGGGCAATCGAGCATGCGGCTCACCTGATGGTAAGTGACTACCACCGCCCATGAACAACTGCAACACCAGGGGAACCAGGGGAATCACAGATGCGTTGCCGGCGTTTTAAAAAGGAGTAGGCTCTTTTCTTGAAGGTCCCTAAGTGGTATCGGTCCGGAAAAATCGCTGGTGGTAATCCATTCCACAAGGAAGTTGTGCGAGGAAGAAAACTTCTTCTAAATCGCACAGTGGTGGACCACCAATCATCCAGATGGTATGAATGGTATCGCGAGTTTTGTCGCGATGTGCGATGGTGAAATTGGGCGGCTGGAATTAGTCCGAACAATTCCTCAGAGCACTCTCCGTGATAGATGCGATAAAATACGCAAAGAGATGCAACATCTCTACGCATTGCCAATGAGTCAAGCCGATCGGAAAGAACTAGGTCGTCGACGATTCGAACCGCTCTGCGCTGAATGCGGTCAAGTGGAAGGAGTTGGCACTGGGGAGCCCCTGCCCAGAGATGGGAACAGTATTCCATGTGAGGCCGAACCTGCGCCTTGTAAAGTTGCAAGCGGTGTGCCGGCATGAAATACTGTCCCGCTCTGCTGAGCACGCCAAGCTTTTTAGAGGCCAATTTGGCCTTCTCTTCCAAGTGACCACAAAATTGCACGTCACTCGATATGTCGACTGAGGCTGAAGCAACAAGGGGAGTGCTTTGAAACTGAGGAGATACGACAAAGGGGTTCTTTTTAGCGGTAAACGCGCAAACTTGTGTCTTCTGGGGATTGAACTGGACTAGATTTAGTCGACCCCAGTCTGAGACTTTGTTCAACAAAGTCTCGACTTCATACACATTTTCGATTGTTTTAGTTAATTTTGATAATAAGTATTTGTTTTGGGTTTTATAGTTGATCATCCAGCTAAACCTACCGCACAATGACTTCATCTCGCGCGTTGCAAGACTTTCAGATTGAAAAACTTTTGAAGGGAGAATCAGAAACCGTCGTTGCCTGTAGTGATGAAGAAGATAACTTGAGTGAAGATGAGGTGCAAAGTGACTACGAGGATGATTTATTTTAGATATGACGTGTCGTTAAATCTATCTCTGGAAAACCAGATATGATTGAACTCTACAATCAAACAAAGGGAGAAGTTAATTCGTTCGACCAAATGTGCTCGCAGATGACATGCAGTAGGAATACAAATAGATGGCCTATGGCGTTATTCTACGGTATGATGAATATGGCTTTTGTCAACAACTACGTCATTTATTGCCACAACATGCTTTCCAAAAAAGAAAAACCCCTAAATAGACGGGCATTTATGAAACAGTTGAGCACTGACTTAGCAAGCCATGGATGGAGAAAAGGCTTGAAATTCCTAATCTGAGACGCAAATTATGCGAAAGCATACAAGGTATAATTCTAGGTAGAATTCTCTTGCCGCGAACTTACCGAAATGAACGTGCAGCAAAGAGAAGGAAATACTTCGCCTTCTGTCCATGGAAACTAAAAATAAAGGCGCGGGCAGAGTGCAATAAGTAAAAAAAAACCTGACTGTGGAGAGCATAAAGTTTTGACTTGTTTTAGTCTGTATGTAGTTCCTATTTTGGGACTAATATGTTAATACTTTGATTATTAGTGATACATGATTTTTATTCAAAGGAAAGGAAATACCCGTTTTAAGATTCATTATTCCAAATAACTCTAGTTTTTAGTTTGTTTTTATGTAAAATAAAAATAATACAACTTAATAATTATTTTTATTTCATTTCTTAGACTGGTGTCGAAACATTATGCCATAGAATATATTACAATATTAAATAACAATAGCGCAATCGGGTCTAAAAGAGTTGTGAGTCTTATCGACCTCACGTTATGCTGTCAGGGGTATCAAAGAACGTTATGTACTTATCTAGGGTTAAAGAACTTCACATGTCATCCGTATATTTTAGTTTAACATACATGCAGCAGCCGAGCACGTGGTAAAACAGCAGTTGTAATAGCGGTTGAATTGTTACGTCTGGTAAGCCAATAACTATAATAAAACTATATGGTTATTCTGCCATCTGTTAGAAATTACCAGATTTTTGCAGCAATTTTAATCAACTCTTACGAAACAATGGATTTTCTTAAGATGCCAGCCACCATCTGGCGCAAAAATATAATAATAATGACGATGTTCTCTAGGCCGATTTCAGCTACAGCGATACCTATCGAAAATTATTGAAAATAAGTATATGCTTAGAATATATTATTACAGTAATGTACAAGTGCGCGCTGTACGTATATGTGATAGAGCCATGCTAAATACTTGCATAAAATAGCAGCTTAATGCGGCTGTGTTTCGTATGGTGTGTGTAAGGAACCGGTGACTCTTTTAACTGGAAACGAGGCATTCCATCTTAGTCCTCAGAAGTGACAACGCATCTACATTTTGATTCTTAATCGATGATAGATGTAGATGTCTACGGGCCATATCATCCACTTACCATTAGTTGGCTACCCTTGTTGTTTTTTATAGAATAAGCGTGACAAACGAGCACACAGTCCACCTGATGGTAAGTGGACCAGCGCCCCATAGGCATCTACATCTAAAATCTGTCTTTAATTATACTGCCTTTCTTACCTACCTATAAACGAGAATATTATTATAAACACTGGTACATCTCTTCTATTTCACCTGATGGTAAGTGGTGATGTAGCCAGAGACTTCGTTAAACAGCTAAAACACTGCTGCTTGGTGGCAGAAATGGTAGGAAGTAACTTATAAGTAACTTATCATCATCACAGCGAATCAAAAGCCCTCTGCTACACAGGTCTCTATATTGTTAGTTGTTCCTCTAAGTCTAAGGCTATCATCATCATCATCATCATTACAGCCCTTATATGGCCACTGCTAAACGTGGCCTACGTCCTCCAAGGACTGCTACAAAGCGTGGTCCTGAGCCACCTACATTATTGAGGGCATCCACGACTTTTTCTACCACCAGGGCGACGCCACTAGAAAGTGAGGTGTAATCTTTCACAGATTTCATAGCGGGGAAATTAATTAGTTTGGAAAATGTAAAGGTTAATGTTTCTTCTGTATTTTTAGCTATATTTTATATTAATAAGATTAAAAATAAATAAACCAATCCACAGATATTCATAAAAGTAGAAAAATTAAAAAAGTTAAAAATGTGCAAAAATTAAAGAGCACACTACTGACGCATTGTTTTGTGTATTAATATTATATAATAATATTCTAGAAACTGATATACTTTTATTTAAAACTTACTACTATATAAATGACATTGTGTAACAAAAAACTTTACCTCAGTGTCAAGTAGCGACATCTGGTGAGTGGAATAATATTACCCCTCATTGACTTCATGCATCTCTTATCAGTTTGTCAGTCCATCTGGTGGGAGGCCGTCCTAAATTTCGCTTACCGGTACGAGACTCCCAGTCAAGAACATCATTCCCCATGGGTTGTCGGTTCTTCGAGTTAAATGGCCGGCCCATTGCTACTACCTTACTTATTCGTTGGGCTATGTCGGTTGCTTTTGTTCTACTGCGTATATCCCTATTTCTAAGTCTGTCACGCAGAGAAACTCCGAGCATAGTTCTCTCCATAGATCGTTGAGCGACAGCGAGCTTCCTCATACAGCCAGCAGTGAAGGACCACGTCTTAGATCGATATGACAAGAGCCTTTTTTAAATTTATTTATCATTTCAAAGTTGAGTACCATAGTATAAGTAAAATAGCATCTTTAAACAGCAAAGGTTTGTCAATAATGCTATCATCTACATCAATATTTCCATAAGGTTTGATAAAGAAAAATGCAATATATACGTAATATTACATTGGTTTGCAAATAGTTTGAAAATCGGTCTAAATATTGATAACTTCGGTGGTAATTCAATAACTAGATGCTCGATTATTTCATTTCTAAGTGTCAAGATCAGTGTTAAGTAGGAAGTCAGATTTTAGTTTTGTTTTAATATTTGTTTGAGGCTATATACATACCAAATAAATACGCCACGTCTGCCACTAAGGCAATGAAGCTCCACAGCTGCTCGCGCTTGATTCGGATAAGAAAGTCCAGGATCGTCACGACGAAGCCGAACACAACGAAACTTATTGTGTACCAAATATAAAATTGCATAAGCGAAGCATTCTCCTGTAAGCAATAATCATTCATTCATTCATTCATTACAGCATATAAAAAGCCAAAAAATATTATACACATATAACTATAGCCAATGATCTGATGCTGATCATAGGTCTCCCCCATAGATTGCCTCATAGGGGGATTTTACCATAGTGGCTACGCTTGGTAGGCAACTGCTGTTTTTTTTTAGTTTTAGTTGTTATCAGGAAGACGCCGCTGGCCATCTCCTATTTGTTCTACCTCTGTGGGCTCTTAGGATACTTACGGGACGATTTGGGGTTCATACTTTGACATATGTTATCAGTAGCCAATATAAAAATGTCGTTATATGCACATACAGCAAGAGTTCGTTGCAACATATAGCTCGATGCGCCTCTGTATCCAGAGGCGCATCAGCAGCATATGACATTATATCCAAGATAGATGAAATAATTTCAAAAGGCGTCCAACTGAGATTGCAATGGGTCCCATCGCATATTGGGTTACGGGGCAACGAAAAGGCTGACATGTTAGCGAAATATGCAGCTAAGAATGGAAAGGAAGCTAATATTATTTTGGATTACTCAAAAGTTTTACCTAAATTCAAAAATATATGTTATGAAATGTGGAAGGAATGCTTTAACAAGCGGTCACTAGAAAAAGGAATATGGTACAAAACCATACAGTGTCAGCCTCTTTATGTGCCCAGATCTTGACACGTTCCATGTAAGAAATTGGTATTCCTGATAAGAAAAACAACTTCGCCCAATTGTGAAGACTGTGGAGTTATAGAAGACCTACACCATCTATTTAATGGAATGTGTTCGATTTGAGTCTGTTAGAAGTAATTTAAAAAGGGTCTTGAATTTGAACAGAACTGACATAGGCACATTTCATAATATTTTATCCCAACCAAATGGCGACGATGCGAAAGTTCTGCTCGAATCCATGGCCCACGTAGTATAATAAGTATTAAGCAACGTTATATGAGTAAGTGATGTATGTTAGGGTATGATGGGACTGACATACGCTAAGCGGTAACTTTCCTTAAATTATTGTAGAATAAAAACAATCTACTGCTGAAAATAAACCTCCCCAAGGAATACCACAAAGCACAGTATTGGACCATCTGGATTTATTGACTTTTTTTATAGGATAAGGGTGACAAACGAGCACACAATCCACCTGATGGTAAATGGCTGCTGCGACCCATAGACATCTACATCTATCTTCGATTTCGAATCAAAATGCAGATGCGTTGTCACCCGTGAGGACTAAGATGGAATGCCTCATTTCCAGTAAAAAGGGTCTCCAGTTCTCTACACTCACCATACGCAACACAGCAGCGTTCTGCTATTTTACTCTACCACGTTTAAACTAACTGTTATATAGTGTGCGTGAGTTTTGGTAACGCGGTCACTGTGGTGCCGTTGCAATGTTCAGACCCTTACGGCTGGACTTATTCAGGCCTATAAAGAAGGGGAAACGTTGCATAAGAATTCCTCAACAAAATATGGAGAGTCATTGGAAACTGCAGGAGTTGGGATCGCGGGCGTATTTTTTTATTTTATTTTTATTTTTACAACAACAAAAATACATATTATACACAGTTCATAAGTACAGTGCAACATAAACCTATATAAGATTTTTCTGCACACTGCAGTTCGCCGTCTTTCGAGCGTAAACATTTTAATATTATTTAGAGTAAGAAGGTAGTTTGCTCGCTTCTATAACAATAACGTGAGGATGAGTTGTAGTATACAGGTTGTTCAGAGGAAAAATTATTTTATATTTTTGAAATATAAATATAGTAATTATATTACAATTAGTATACATATATAATAGTATATAGTATACAAATAGTATACAGTATTAGTTTTAGTTATATTATGTTAGTTATTATATTAGTTGATTCATAAAGTACGTTTTTAATTTGTTTTTAATATTTTTAGGATTGATATCTTCCTTTAAGGTTTTAGGTGTTTTATTAATTAATTTAGGAACAATAATCTTATTTTGATGATCTCCATACATATTTTGTGTTATAGCTATAATTAATTTAAGGTTATATATACTTCTAAGCTGGTGTTTATACGTGGGAAAAACTAAAACTTACCTTACTTGTTGAACAGTTCTTTAATACAAAATTGCAAGTCCTAATTTTGTATTAAAGAACTGTTCAACAAGTAAGGTAAGTTTTAGTTTTTCTTCAATAGGCAATACCGTTACCGATAATACCGCAAAATTTGAATAATTTGTTGTAGTTATACTTATATTGTTGTTTGATTTTAGGTGGGACAATTGTTTTGATGATTCTAAGCTGTGATTCATGGATACTATAAAGATGCGATTTCCAGGTTCTACCATAGTTACTTAAACCGTAATGTATTATCGATTCGGCCAGAGCCTTGTAAAGGGATAACAGTATAGGATAGGGTACTTTATATTTAATTATAGGAAATTTAGCAAGTATGGCCCTTAACTTATCACACACTTTACTAATATGGTGCGTCCATTTAAATCGACTGTCTATTATGAGTCCAAGGTAAGGTTGTTGTTCTACTATATCGATATGATTACAATTACAAGTCTGGTTAGACATGTTATTATGAAGACATTGGTGGCTGTGGGCAATGAGTTTTAATGGAACTGATACTCTATTTCGACTGGACGAAATGTACATCAATTTTGTTTTGGTGGCGTTCAGAATTAGTCCTGCATCGTGAGACCATTTCATAAGGTTGTTGAAATCCTCTTGCAATTTCTGTAATGCCACATTTATGTCGTTCTCCGCCGCTAATAAGCAGGTATCGTCTGCAAACTGATAGATCTTGCAGTTTTTAATGACATTGGCAACATTATTAACATAAGTCAAGTAATGCAAAGGCCCAAGCACAGATCCCTGGGCGGTACCATGGGTGACGGTTTGCTTTATACTTGTAGCATTTCCCACTTTAACTCTATATGCTCTCTCTTTAACATAATCTTTGCACCAATTCAGAAGGGGTCCTCGAAGTCCACATTCATCAAGTCTTTCAATCAGTAAATCATGCCTTAGAGTATCGAACGCTTTACTATAGTCAATAAAAACAACTAGAACATGTTTTTTATTATCAAGATAATAGTTTACGTCGTCAGTGAAAGTAGATAACAGTTGAGTGGTACTTTTATGCTGCTGAAAACCATACTGACTTTTATTTAAAATTGAGTGTTGACTATAGAAATTATTTACTTGTTTACTTATATATTTCTCAATTATTTTATCTAGTGTAGGCAGTATTGTTATTGGACGGTAATTGTCATAGTCCGTTTTTTTACCTTTTTATGTATGGGTCTTACAATTCCGGTTTTTAATTCAGTAGGGTACTTACCTTTTTCAATACACGCATTTATTAGGTTGGCTATGGTAACCGATATTTTGTCCGTAATAGATTTTAAGCCTATTGCTCGTATTTTGTCTATACCTGGTGCTTTGTTCGTGTGAATGTTTTTTATTATTTTAGCTACTGAGCTTGGATAGCCTTTTGACATCGGAGTGTTACGTTTACAGGCGATCTGTACAAGTTCATCGGCGAAAGGGGCCGATTACAAGAAGGTACGATGCTTGAAACACTTTTCTGAAACACCTCAGCGAAATTATTAGCGATATCAAGTGGCTTTACTTTCTCATTTTCAAATGAATTTAATATTATATTATCAACGGAAGAACTTTTCCGTCCCGTGATCTTATTAAGTTATTAAGTTTCATCTGGTTATTTTTATTATTATATATATCCTTTTTTATGTACCAATTTTTTGTTTTTTGTATCAGTTTGTTAGTTGAGTTTCGTATTTTATTATATTTTTGCTTAATAATCTTATCATCAGTATTTTTTAACCACAAAGAGAACCAATAGTCCCTATTTTCACATGCCTTTTTAGTCCTATTATTAACCCATTTATTTTCTGCCTTCGTTAATGTTCTACTTTTTATCTGAATTGTTGTTAGGGCTTCATTGTAACATCTATTAAAGTTATCTTTTATAAATTTGTATATTTCAATGGGGCAACTAATACTTTTAGTTGAGTCCCAATCTATTTTATTTAATGAAGCAGAAACTTTTTTCTGGTCAATAAATGTTTTAGATTTAGGAGCCGCCTCTATATAGTGTTGAGATCCAACACAAGCGAATGTTATCGCACAGTGGTCTGCCAGTGCGGTTCGAAGTGTCGCAGTGTATACGTCTTGTGAGTGGGACCGTGCAAATATATGGTCAATACAGGATTTACTAATTAGGTTATTTCTTAATTCAATTCTAGTATATTCCGAGATCCTACTCACAAGTCCGTAAGTCGATAACATTGTTGTGTATTTATGTTTTATAGGAGTTTCCACAGCGAGGTCGATGTTTAAATCACCTATTATAAAGAAGTCTTCGCGTTTATTAATTATGTCGCATGATTGCTGCAATTCGTGTATAAATAGGTGTTTGCTTAAGTTAGGCGGACGGTAAATAGCGATATGTCATGTATGTCATGGATCAACTACAGGACAGATACGTGGTAGAGCCATACTGCAGCTATATTTTCGTTGTAGCACGAATGGGTCGGCTCGACCGGGGAAGGACCACACTCTCACAGAATACCAGCGTAAAATAGCAGCTCAATGCTGCTGTGTTTCGTATGGTGTGTGTAGCGATCTGGAGACCCTTTTTACTGGAAACGAGGCATTCATTCTTAGTTCTCAGGGGTAATAATGCATATACTCTTACATATAGATTATTAACCGAGGATAGAAGTAGACGTGTATGAGCCACACCATCCACTTACTATCAGGTGGATTGAGCGCTCATTAATCACCCTTATTCAATAAAAGAATAAATGAGATGGGTGCTGGTTAGTGACGGGGGCGGAGCCCCCTTTCACAGGTGACGGGGATTCCATCATAGCCCTCAGGGGTGACAATGCATGTAAATTTTGATTCTTACTCGGGGATAGAGGCACTACGTCTACTTAACAAGTACTTTAGGTGGACTGTGTGCTTGTTTGTCATGCACAAATATTTCCTTTGTTTTACAATATGTGTCTCACGCAACGATAAAGGTACAACGGAAAAAGGATATGGTTTAATGGTAATTATCTATTTACTATTACACCATAATATAGATATGGGACACAACATCTACCTACCATCAGGTGGACTGTGTGTGCACGTAATTAATAACATAAACGTTGTGACAACTCACAAGAACGCAACCCAGCAGCAATACCAAGTTGGCAGCTTGGAAAATTGTAAGCAGCATGTTCCTCGTAGAGCATACATGGTCTCGGACCAGCGACCATCGTTCCTGCACCCTGCAGTCGCAGCACGACGTTGAAGTATCACTGCCCGTCAGGTAATCAGCTAGGCTCGCTGTCTGTTGTAAATAAATATAAAAGTAAATAGTTTGGAAAATCCGAAAGTGATCGCCTCATGAGCGCTTCATTTAATTTTGATGAAAAAATAAATTACCAGAATAAATCAATAACACAAAGTATAAAATTGATATAGGCTGTATGGTACATTTGTCCTTTGTCTATCAAAGGCTAAAGAAGAAAATGAAAGCGCCTTTAAATTTTTAATGGCAATAAAATTTATAAAATTTAAAAATCATTTTATTAACAAACGAGGCTATTGATATGAAATAGGGAACCAGCTGACGTAATTCTGAAGCTAATAAAAATCCCAGTCTCGATACGTCAATTTTTTCGGGAATTATCGTGACCAAATACAAAATCAACATCCTGACGTCCACGTAAAATTTTTATCAAACCGTTTTTTATCAAAGTAACAATATAAAGTGTTTTTTTTAGAAAATATAAGATAGATTAATTAGTGTTTTCTTGATAAACAGCTACTCATATTATCGTATAAGCACAGAATAAATAAGTATAAGTGCATTGAGTTATTATGTACTACGTACTAGAGAAGCCATTCTAAACAAAAAAATGTGCACTACTCTATGTCTTCGCGCATGCGCGGGAGACAGTGGTTTTTGGCGGGAACTTGACCGGCGGCAGTTTGCTGCTCCTGTATTATTGTTTAAATAATTTTTTGAAGTGGACTTTGATATGTAAAAGTGGTGCGATTTTGTGTATTAAGTGCCTGCCCTTGTGAACTATTAGTGGAAACTGTGAAACAAGTGTTCTGATGGTGATGTGATTCTCAAAATAAGGTGTCTGTCTGCTTAGGCGCCTAAAGATACCATCGCCAACCGTCAGCTGTCTGCTGGCTCAAGTTGCCGTCAAAATCTCCCAAGGGCTGCACAATGTGACGCATCAACATATTGTGAAGCAGTATACTATGAAGGATAATTATTATAATATATTGTAACTTCAGGCTCAGAAGGGCTAGATCCCAGAGCCGTAAAGCCAGTTGTTAAGAAGAAGAAGCGGGAGATAGTAGAGTTGCGCATACGCAGTTGCGCCACCATAGACTAACTAGTAGATTGAAACCACTCTAAATGACACACTGTACGGATTGCAGTACAGTTCAGTTGAGCATAGTGTACTCGTATGTTCGGAATGCGAAATCTAGTACGTAGTACATATATATCGATGTATAAGTGCAATATGATTATGATAGAGGCATTTTAAGACCACAAAATTGATTGACCTTGACGTGTCGAAAGTACCTCTTAACACGCTCCCGTTGCCGGGTAGACGGTGCCGGGTACCCAGCGGCAAAGTGTATACCCATGTACGTTAGATTTCATACGTACCGGCGTAATTAGTCCGGCAAGCGATCGCCGGGTACACGCCGGATCCACCACTGTGCGTCCGATCACCGCCTACTGGTTAGTCGGCGGCCTAAAGCACAATGGTGTATGAAAAACTTATATGCTTTCTTACGCACCGTCGCGGTGGCAAGTCGCCCAGGTACAACTACAGAGAGAGGATGCTACTGGATACAAAATCGTCTCGTGTGAAAGCTGAATGTACTACCAGACAGTCGGCATCGGATACCCGGCAACCGTCACGTATGAAAAGGCACTAATGCTTCGCGTTATGAGACGTGCAATAAAAAATTGACTTTCGATAAATATTATGAACTAATCTATATACTACCTAATAGTATAGTAATAAAGTCCTTCAGACCGAATTTCGATCATGGCGGTCAGTCTTAACCAAGATCAGCTAGCTATCTGCACTGGACAGGAGTTTATACTTAAAAATATATGATTAATATTACATAAAATGTCTTATACACGGTCCATCTTGACGTACGTTCCGCCAAGGCCATGCACGATGCACGACGCAAAACGACAATGAATAGGCTTGACGTACATCAATGACGTACGTGCATGACCTTGGCGGGACTTGACCAGTGTATAATACGTTTATTCATTACTTTATGATGTATGTTGCGCGGAGTCGTCATAATGGCTTCACTTTTTAATAATGCTTGATTTTACTAGTCATTTATTTTTTACATCTTGCGTTATGTATGAAACAATTCTTAAGGAATAAACAAAAAAATGAATAATTACAAAGAAAGTTACTCAGATATGCACGCTTTGTACAGCTACTACTTTTAAAACAGAAAAGACATTCAAATAAAAACATACCAAGCTTATCACCGAAATAATGACTACAGTGGTCCGCGGAGACATCGCTCTGTTCAAATGATCTTCAAAATAACGCTTTGCTACATCCATCGTATTATTTCTTTTGTACTGCACTTCTACAATAATTTATCATAACTAAAAATTTGACAATATGACTGAGTCAATGTCAGAAAAATAATAAGCATTTTCATCACATATTTTGTTTGTTCGCATGCATTAATATCAGCCATCTTTTTCGTACTGTTTTTTATAAACAAACATGTTAAAATATCTGTGAAATGTAATTAAAATCAACAAATATTTAAATAAACTGTATTCATTCAAAAAAGCAACAAAAAAATAATTAGTGTCTTAGAAAATATTTTTTTTCAATCGATAGTAATCATGTTATCTATACGAAAGGGAACAACAAAACGGTGTTGTTGTGGAGTACGTAGTATGTAGGAGTGATACACGGTACACATATTATTTCATGAATTTTCCAATGCCTTCCCTGCAATATCGCAAAAAATATTAAATCATCAGGCGGTTCAAGTAAAGTACCCACATATTAAAACTAAAGTAACATTTTTTACTGCCGAAATTTTCAATATCACTGCCATTATCTTCATCTATGCATGATGAGACCAAATAATGATAATATAGATCCATAATTAAAATTCTATGGATCGCGTTGCTTCAGAATATCCAGCCCTTTCCCATTTGTTAACGGCTGAATCGATGGGTAGGTTTCTGATTGCATTTCTTACCCTGAAAAATAAATTAATTTATAATATTATATTATTTAACATTACATAATATATGATATTTTCTAATAAAAAATATAAATTCAGTATACTGGATAGTATAATTACAAATGTTATATGTTTAACCTCAAAAAAAAATTTATTAATTATAATCGTGATTAATTTTCATGTTAATTTAAATGTTTTGAAAGTGCTAATTATTAATTGGCATAACTAATTAAAAAAATTATAATTATTATTCGTTTTTATTATTTTTCGCATAGTAAATAAACAGTAGAATAAAAAATACCTACTAATACTAATCGCATGCAAACATCGAAAAATCCATTTTATTTACGTGGTAGAGCCATGCTGCAGCTATATTAATAGTATAGTTGTAGCACAAATGGGTCGGTTCGAGCGGGGAAGGACCAGGCTCTCACAGAATACCAGCGTAAAATAGCAGCTTAATGCTGCTGTGTTTCGTATGGTGAGTGTAGAGAACCCGAGACCTATTTTGCTGGAAAAGAGGCATTCTATCTTAGTCCTCACGGCTGACAAGGCATCTGATTTTTAATTCGCAAACTATGATAGATGTAGATGTCTATAGGCCACAGCAGCCATTTACCATCGGATGGACTGTGTGCTCGTTTGTCACCCGAATTCTATAAAAGAAAAATCCAAATAAGAGACAAGCTCCATGCTCATGCCTAATTGCAATATTATTTAAAATATTTATAACCATCTCAAATATGCCAATAAAATATTTTTTATAATTTCCAACCAGTGGTAATATTTATTTCATTAGATAAAAAAATGTTATTCTATACATTTAAATACAATTGAAGTGTTTGTCTGTAATATGGAAATAACTGCCTTATAATAATTTCTACTATTTACGCGAACAATACACATTGAATAAAACTACTTTTACGGGTTTTATCGCGCTTAATTTATTTAATTTTAATTCCCGACGTTTCGGGTGCTTTCACCCATGATCACTGGAGGGACTGAGGTAGGTAATTGACGTCCCGATGTCAAAGTTAACTGGGAGCACCTTCAGTTTTTAATTATTACTATTGGTCCAATTTACGCAGACACCTTACTGTATCCTAAGGTATTTCAGTGATATACTTGGGTTTAGTTTTAATTTTATTAATCTCAGGATCCCAAGCAGGTGGTTGTACCCAGCCACCTTTTATATTGAAATTAGGGTGTTTTTTTAATTTCAATAACCTCACGTATCACCCTTGGTAGGAATCGATGTTCTTTCGCGTGGATTTGTGGTCTATCAATTTTGTTCTGCCTTTATTTATAATTAAATAAAAAAAACAAAGATATTTATATATACCACAAAACATGTCATAACTGTAAAAATCTTTTGTTAAAATGGATTCATCATAAGACATATGACGAAACTGAGAAGCTACTGGATCGTGTAGCATGATTTGTTCAGATTCAGACACTGTAATCACACACACTCTTTTTAACTCACGCAAGCATAGTTACAAACACAAATACACCCACCCATACACACACACACACACACACACAATCTACTAGTTTTTAAGGTATGTACTTTTTAAAAACGAAATAAAATTTATTTATTATTATTATTATTTTTTTGTTATCAATCTGATGTAACGGCAGAGACCGTTTAGGATATCATCACAAACTGCAGACTTCAGACCTGAGTATAGAATATAACTTTTTTAGCAAAAGAAATTAATAGCACTGGTCGGAATTATAAAAAGTATTTTTTGTTCTGTTTCCGTCGCAATAACTTCTGTCATAGTCCTGACATTTAGTGTTTAGTACACAGAACACTAATACCTTTAGTACTAGCACTTTATTAGGAGTAGGTGTTGTGTTGCGGCTTTTAATAGTTAGAGTTAAAAATAAAATGAATCTTCAACTTATAGTTACTTGTTTAACTATGCTACTTATGGAAGCCCATTGTACAGATGAACTTTATCCAGGTAGGTAATCCCTATTTTCTACTTCATTCATTGCCATTTCATCATTCACCGCTGCTGAACAAAGGTTTCTTACAAGTCGTGCTACAAACATAGACATAGGTCACCTGCATCTATCGACTTTCGACCAGGTCGTCACTCGGGTAAGGGTCTGCCCTATACTCCCGAAGGGTTGTCGCTTTTTTGATTTGTGTTAGCATCATACCACAACAGCTTGGCTAGGTAGGTACTCTGGTTCCGTAGCGAATATCATCGTTACGGATTCTATTACGTAGAAAACCTCCTCCGAGCGACCTCAAACTTACTCATACGGCCAGTAGTGACCAAATAATGGATCCACATTCATCACACGCACTGGTTTACCTTGTTTTCAAGTTTTCCACTTAGCTGTGAGGGCTAAGAGAGTTGGAAATATTTTAAAATTTGTAATTAAAGTTGTGCACATAGTATTTCACAGTTTTTATTTGCTGACGTTAGTACGCGCTATAAGACGTTCATCGATTCCGTTTTTTATTATTCCCCGTAAGCCATGCTGCAGCTATAATATGGTCGTAGCACAATTAGGTCAGCTTGACCGGGGTATGACCACGCTCTCACAGAATGCCAGACAAACAGCAACATTAAATTAGCAGCTTAATGTTTTCGTATGGTGAGTGTAGAGAACCGGAGACCCTTTTTACTGGATACAAGGACCATTTTAGTCCTCGGGGTTGAAAGCGCATCTGTATTTTGATACTTAATTGAGGTGTGGATAAATGTATGTCTATGGGCCACAGTATATTTTTTTTATAGGACAGGGGGCAAACGAGCATGCGGCTCACCTGATAGTATGAGACTATCGTCGCCCATGAACAACCGCAACACCAGGGTAATTGCAGATGCGTTGCCGGCCTTTTAAAAAGGAGTGGGCTCTTTTCTTGAAGGTCCCTAAGTCGTATATCGGTCCGGAAAAATCGCTGATGGTAATCGATTCCACAAGGAAGTTGTGCGAGGAAGAAAATATCTTCTAAATCGCACAGTGGTGGACCGCCACTCATCCAGGTGGTATGAATGGTATCGCAAGTTTTGTCGCGATGTGCGATGGTGAAATTGAGCGGCTGGAATTAGTCCGAACAATAATAATAACAATATCCACTTACCGTCATGTAGACTGTGTGCTCATTTGTCTCTGCTATAAAAATAACTTTTTTGAATTAGAATTCGATTTTAACCGACTTCAAACAGGAAGAGGTACTCAATTCAATTGTATTTTTTCATGTGTGTTACCTCATAACATTTTTCTAGGTGAACCGGTTTTTTCTCATGTGGTCGCATGTAAATTTAATCAAGGTCTTACCAGTAGTTTTTGAGTTATACTTAATAATTTATATTGAGGTCGATTGTACAAAATCCACCATATTTTACCACTGGCTTCCAATTACCAATCAGCTTGTAAAAGTCCACTGCTGGTTACAAACGACTTTCATTGTAGGGCGCAATCGCCGTAATCTTAACGCTTCGCAGGCGGATCGACGTTCGCAGCACCACACGCCTCATTCTTTTGACGCTGCTCGCTGTCTGCAGTGTGGGTAGTTTTAAGCCTAGCGTAAACGAGATGACTGTACCGACACTTATCGGAAGGCATGTGATCGGCACCCACGAAACAAACGTGATAAAGGATTCTCTTATCTGCCACCACACAGCATTTCAAATACCGTTGCCGTTACCGTTACAGCCTATTAAAGTCCACTTCTGAACATAGGCCTCCCCTATAGATTGCCTCATAGGATGATATTTGCCATAGTTGTAATGTTACTGTTGATTTGAAAATTTCACCTCTCAGTGCGTCATGTGCTCCTGGTAAAATTACCTTCTATACATCCATCCGTTACAGCCTATTAAAGTCTACTGCTGAACATAGGCCTCCCCCATAGATTGCATCACAGAAGGATATTTGCCATAATTGTAATGTTACTATTGATTTGAAAATTTCACCTCTCAGTGCGTTATGTGCTCCTGGTACATATCTTCTATACATCCATCCATTACAGCCTATTAAAGTCCACTGCTGAACATAGGCCTCCTCCAGAGATTGCCACGTGGGGGGGGGGGGGGGGGGGGGTTTATTTGTGCCATAAGTACAACGCTTGGCAAGCGGGTAGACAACTGCAGTTTTTATATTTAGTCGTTATTAGGAAGACGCTGATGGTCATCTCCTGATATGTTTCCCTCTATCACCTCTTACAACACCCACGGAATGATTGGGGGTAGTGGATAATCTTACACCACCACTACACGGCATTTCGGATAGGTACTTACTAATGTAATATCATTTGTTACTTCTATCTCTATAGCTATGTTAATTGGGCCGTGGTGTGCAGAAATCATTCGATCCACAAACTGTCCAAAA